TTGAAGTCAGTGGGTTTTTTTTGCTTTGTTTTGTTTTGTTTTGTTTTAGTTTTTTGGTTAATAGATGACAAACTTTTACTTACTTTTCTCTTCTGGCCTAGAAAAAAAAAAGAAAATTGCTCACTCAGAAAAACAGGCTTTTAATCTGCTGATGTGGAATTTCTAAATGAACCTTCCCCAGCCTGCTTCAAAGTACCAATGTAGCCTTTAAACTGCTGGAGGAGCAGAGTTAGAAATTGCAGTGTATGATGGTGCTAACTTTGGGTTTAACTCAGCTTGTTGCAGGCACTGAACCAGATTTTACTAATTTTCCACTCTGGTTGGCTGTTGCCTAATCAATATTTTATCCTTTAATTGTATTTGCTGTGCACAGGAATGGCACATCCAGGGTGCTGATAGCTCGGAGCTTCTGCCTGCAGTGCTCTCTCCTAATGCTTTGTTTGGGGCCAGGAGAGATGGGGGGTGGTTGCCTTCCAGTCACAGCAGGTGCAGACAGAAGCAACAGTTTTACCCTGTGTGGCCCCTGAAACTGTGACTAAACACAAGTGCATTGCTGCAGAGTGCTTTAAAATGCCCTGATCCCACAACAATCTGAACCCTCATTGCATGAGGTTATAGATTAAGGTGCTCAAAAGCAGAGCACCCTCAATAACTTTTATCTGCATGTGTCAGGAGCAGGGCTGGGCTGCCCCCCAGCACTGTCTTCAAAATGGGAAGGGGGGAAGGGAGAAGACGGAGTTCGGTCCAGAGTTTTTTCAGCCAGTGCTGGAGGGAGGGGTGGTTGGATTGGCGCCCCCGTTACATCAGGGGGGCTCCAATCCGCCCATCCCACCTTCTGGCCCTGGCTTGGCAACCTCCAGAATGAGCTCCCTTTGCTTCCTTTCCCCATTCCCGTTCTGCAAATGGACTGGGAGGGGAAAGGGGGATTGCTAGGAGAGAGCAGCTGCAGCCTCTGTAAACAGCCGCTTGATCCCCCACCCCCTGGGACCTAACAGCGAATGTCTGTTGGATCCAGGGCAGTGTTATAACTAATGGTGCTTCCTGTGAAGTGCCATGAGTTACAGTGCCTTGCTGCTCTTCTGTGTGTGCCTAGAGTGGCCAATGAGTTTGGGGCACACCACCTGTGGGGTGGGCATTTAGGTGATCACTTAGTGCTCTCCAGGCTAACATGATTCCTGTTGCTGTGGTGCGCAGCTGCCGCTTGACTCTCAATTTGAGGGGTGCTGCGGGAGGAACTTGAATAAAGACGTGCGTATCTGGTCAGCATTGCTGTATTTTGGCCTGCCCTGCCAGTTGGGGAGGGGAGGCTGTAGTGGGAGCATAGCCCAAAGGGAACTTGCTACCAGCACCCTCTCCCTTCTGCCCATTGTAAGCAAGGAGCAGCAAAGCAGCACCAGGGCATCGTACAGGAGCAGCAAAGGCTCGCTGCATTAGGGAGCCATCACCTCCTTGTAATTCATGGGGGGTTTTTTTGCCTGTTCAATACATGTGTCAGCAGCAAAAAGAGGAGGCAACATCCCCCCTATGTAACAGCAGCTCTCTGGCTGCTGCCTCTGCCCCAGGGCACAGCACTGAGCAGTTCTGACTTGAAATCTCCATCCTTGGAGGTTTTTAAGACCTGAATAGAGAAAACTCTGCGTGAGATGATCTAGTTGGGGCTGGTCCTGCTTGGAGCAGGGGATTGGACTAGATGTGACCTCCTGAGGTCCCTTCTAGCGCTCATTGTCTAGGATTCTGTGATTTCCTCTGAAAGCTTTGTCAGTGGCCTTGTCTGCTCTTTATGCATTTGGGAGTAAAGCAGGAGATTCTTATCTCTGTCCATTCACATGTCACTTTTTAGGTTGTTGAATACCTGGGGAGAGGGGGTGTATTGCTGCTGGTTGTGTTTAGTTCAGTTCATTTGGGAAGAAGAAGCGTGGGTCTTCTCTGTGGTGTTCTGATGGTGCAGTGGTGCTCATGGTTGCACATATTACCAGTTTTCCACCAAGCCACAAACCACACTGGCCTAGGTTTCAAGATCAAATCAATAGATGAGGTTGGGAAGTTGACTTCCCATCATGCAAAGAATTCACCATTCTTTGTGGGCAGCTTAGGACCTGTGCTTTATTTAAACTGATTCATTTAGTCAGCTTTTGATGAATCTAGTAAAATCAGTGGATGTGTTTGAGAAAACAAGTGAAGCAATCTAGTAAAATCAGTGGGTTTATCTGGAAAAACTAGTGAGTGCTTCTTATATTGAGGGAGTAGCTGTCAGTGTGTTGTGTCTTGGTTGCAGCCTTGTTTTGTAAGGTAATGTTTGGCCTGACCCTTGTGGATAGACATTGTTCTCGTGGTTTCTCAAGCTTCACCAAAAGCAAGCTGAGAAAGCACCAGAAATATCTGCTCTAGACATTTTGGCTAGGTAAGACATTACAATTACACTTTTACTGGTATCAGTGATCAGAAACTGGTCTATACCTGTAACAGAACAGAAGTTCGGCACACATATACTGGATTAAAAATGGCAGAACTCAGTCTAAGATTGACCCCACCAAAGGGTGAATGCGTGTTATGTTTGCTACTGATCTAAATGACGACGCTTACAGAAAACCACCTAACTTAGATCAATTCTGCCTCAGGCTTTTTGAATGTCTGTACCTAGCCTTTATGGCTTAGGTTGAAATGTCAAGTCTGAGTTTTCCGACATAGGTATTAAGTGACTTCAGATCAGCTGCAGGTTGGTATCCATACTTTAGTTCCCTCCCCAAAGCAAATTCTGTCTCTAGTGACCTGGTTCTGACTTCACATGATGAAATACCAGTCACTGACATGAAATCCTCCTCTATCAAACCCCAAAGCTACAAATACTTACACACCTGCCAGACTTAACATGCCAGTAGTACCATGAGGCCTGATCACTCGCTGCTCCATAGTGCCAAGGTTAAAATTGCCCTTTTAAATAAGGCTGTGACTGACGCACCAGATACAGGCAGCTGTACCCTCCGTAAAGAAAAGGGACGTGCTAGTTTTCTTAAATAAATCCACTGACTTTCTCAGAGCAGTGAAATCAGTGGGACTGTTGGTGGGCATAAGGTTAAGCAAGTGTCCAGCTTGCAAGATGCAGACCATACTCTGCTGGGACAAGGATAGTGCATCAGGTCCCAAAGTCCTGAACGATTTTGGTTCTTGGCTGCCTTGAAAGTAAAAACTCTCTCATCACAGTTGAGATCAGTTGAACTGCATCATCTGACAGCCCCTTGCTTTCCAGAGGAGAAGGCTGCTGGACAATCCCTCACCACTTCATCCAAAACTCCTCTCATTCCTTAGACTGAAGCTCGCACCTCTTGACCTTGAAGCTGAAAAGCATACTTTTTCTCCAAGGGTTTTTGGAAGAACGGGTGGGAAGTTAGGAGGGGCGATTGATTGTTCTCGAAGAGCGTGGTTTTCTCTAATAAAGGATGGCATGGGGAGCTACTGAAAAAGATTCATACGTGTTTCTGTTTTACATAACCACCTGGAGTGGTGGCCAGGTACATGTCTTAGCAATCCACATAAATAAAAAAAATAGTCCTTTGCAAGGAAACCGGCCCTATGACCTTCGCTATTGCTTTAAAATATGTTCTAGGTTTTGAATGCTAATAATGACCATTGTTCTTTAAAATGGTTTTATACCTTAGTACTTATGAAAACTAATCATAAAGTGGTTGCAATCACTGAATGCATGTTCATTTCCTGTGTTGGCAGGAGAGTTTCACTGTGGGTTTGAGGACAATAACATCTGTCTATTCACCCAAGATGATACGGACAATTTTGACTGGACGAAACAAAGCACTCTCACCAGACACCCAAAATACACTCCAAACACTGGGCCCATTGCAGACCGAACCGGGTCCAAAGAAGGTAAAACCTAGCTTAGGTTTCTGCTGTGGTAGGGAGCCAGGTCCTCAGGTGGGGGGGAAACTGAATAGCTCCATTCAGGATTTATCCAACCTCAAAAGTCCCGCTCATCTCTGCCTGTCCTTACATGGCACTCAACAGTATTTAGCATGAGCCTATTGAAGTATAATTTAGAAAGGAAACTGGCATTCAGTAGGGAGGATCTGTGAAGTAGAAAACTGCATCTGAATGTCCCTAAACTCTGCAAGAGTTCAGATCCATTCCAAGGCTAAATGCTGTAGATCCTGCGTTGTGCCATTTGTAGCATCATTTTAAAGGCGATCGCTCCTCTACAGCAGACCCTGTGGCTTTTTATATCCAACATGCTGTCCCTTTAAATAATTTGAATTCTCACTAACTAGTCGTTGATAGCTGAAATGTTTACCCCATTTGTAGTCTGGACCTTGCTGAGATGCATAATAAATCTGACTGGCTCTCCAACTAGCTAATCTGCTGAACTCTGATTTCTGTGGGCGCTGGACCACTGCAAATCAGACCTGGAGCGCTGGGTTTAGCGAGGACTCGGTCACTCCCACTGCTTTATTCCATGCGCCTAGCTTGCACTAGGAAACAAAAGCAAGTTGCATTGTCTCTGCTTGGTTACAATGATTGAGCAAATGAGATTAAAGAAATGGTATCTATAATGCTGACATAGCCCAGTGTCAGAATGAATAAGAACTGTGTTCTTTCACTGCGGGTGAGCATGGGAACGATGATGGATAAGGCTGCTGGAATGGTTTCTTAGAAAGGATGCCATCAAGATATCTTCTCTCACTATTTATATAAACACAGTGCAGCCTTGAGACTGAAGCCTGGCAAATCATTTTTTTTCCCCCTTTGCTTGTGCATACCTCCTAGTTTCTCTCTCTAAATAGGCCCATGAGCACAAAATGCTAACGCAGCTTTTACTCTTGATGCACAAAATCTTTTTGAAGCGTTCCCGTGGGGACGCACTGGGACTTTGTGTAGTTCAACTCTCAACAAAAGCATCTCTGCAACCTTTTGACTGTCGTAGCACTGCCTAACATTATTCACGGCTCTTAACAGCCCTGATGTATTGCTCGTATATCGGGAAGGGAGGAGGGAGGTGTCCCTTGTTGGGTTGTTTTTTTTTAGGGAGGGGGTATTTATTTTTTCAAAACTGCATTTAACAGTGTCCTTTGGGGCTTCTTCCAGGTTTCTACATGTACATTGAAACGTCGCGCCCCAGGCTGGAAGGAGAAAAAGCCAGACTTGTTAGTCCTGTTTTCAGTGTGGTGCCTCAAAATCCTTACGGAGCTACCAACACGGCGTACTGTTTTAGCTTCTACTATCACATGTACGGACAGCACATAGGTGAGAGACGAGTCGTTTTCCATTTGAGAGTAGTAACGGGAGAAATGTAGGTGCATGAAAGGAAAATGGATGCGTGCGGCCACACAAGAGCTTGCCAAAACAACCAAGAGGCCAGTCATGGCAAAAGGCTGTAGGGCCAGGACCTACCAGCCCCGCACTCACCGTCATGAGCTTGTTCTGCACTGAAAGCAGTAGACAGCTCCTCCGTGCAATGAAGTGGACAGCCTAAGAGGAGCGCATGGTGTTCAAAGGAATGGGTGGCTTTTGAATATGGTTTTGAGAAAGGACCATTTTAAGTGTGGGGGAGGGAGACTGCCTCATGGACTTTCTGGTACTATCCTGTTGTTTTGCATTCCCTGCCTTTTGGGGTTTTCGGTGGGGGGCAGGACAAGCTAGTGCAACTTGCACTAAAGTTAGGGTCTCTTTCCCTTACATTTCAAGGCAGTTTAAAACACACGTAGTGCCAGGGTATATTTAAAAGCCCTTATCATATCATGGCCATTTCTCAATATACTGTTGCAAAAAACAAACAAACAAAAAAAATACTGGTTGAGAATATAGCAGGCAGTCATCGATCCTTCTGGATGATGGTGTCTGCACGAGAGGTCACCAGGACCTTTAATGCATATGCTTATGTAGGAGTATGGAGGACCACAGACTGCCCAGATCTTCCATCCCCCTTTTAGACTATTGAATGACTTAGTCTGGACATTTGGTGCATCGACTGCTGTAGTTATATGTACATCTGGGAATCAAATCCCGGTCTCCCATGGGGTAGATAAGGAGTCCAGCACTGAACCGTGACAGCAGGTAGATTGAGAATATAAATGTATAAATAACAGGTGAGGGCTTTCTCTCAGTCCCGTCGCTTCTCCTGGGAGTGAATAGGAAATGTGGGCAAATTTGACTAGATTTCCCACACCTAGCTGATTTCAGTTTGTAGCCAAAATGACACATTTAGGGGTAACCCCAGCCCTCTGGTGCGTGCTTGGGGTCACTTTTGAACCCGCTTCTCCATACAATGCAGCCCTTCAATAAGGCAAGTGAATTCAACTGGTCATGTTTGTTGTCAATGCATGGCTTATAACGGCCCTTTTTTTGGTGACCCTAGAAGCCACTTGGCTAGAAGGGCTCTGAGGCCATGCCAGGTTATAGTGAGAGTCATTCAAAGTAATGTAGATCCCTGGAAAGCTGCTTGTAGTATGTGGTGCTGAAGGATAAAGTGGGGAACTATGAGCAACACCGCCAAAGCAAAGAGAGTAGGGGCAGGTAAGATTGCACTCCCTCTCCCTCTGCCCCCACTGCTCTCCAGTAGTCACCCTCTTGCAACACACCCCAGCCTCAGTCCTGGGTGCTCAAACGTAGTGTTCCCCAATATTGGTGCTCTGGTTGAAAGTCGTCATTTTGTATGATGGTACAATAATATTTAAGGTCCTTGTTTTTCGTGCTCCTGATGCTGAAAGTCAATTGGCAAAGGCTAAAAATATTGTGTTTCACCCTGGCAGCACTCACTGTCCTCCTGGTAATCTTGATCACTGCTAAACAAGTCAGTTTAAGAGTGAATATTAACATCTTAACATCTTTTTTTTTTTTAAAACAGCTTTGAAATCACTTTATCACATGCTCACTTTTAAATCCCTGACAACATTTCTTTTTTTTTTTTTCTTTTACTTTTAATAAACTGTGTGGAGCCAAAAACATTTTTAAAAATGCTAGAAAAGAAATTAAATTCAGAGCTAAATGTTTCATAGTTTCATAGTTTCTAGGGTCGGAAGGGACCTGAGCAGATCATCTAGTCCGACCCCCTGCCATGGCAGGAAGAGCACTGGGATCAAATGACCCCAATAAGGTGGTCATCTAACCTCCTCTTAAAAACCCCCAGGGTGGGAGCCTGCACCACCTCACTTGGAAGCTGGTTCCAGAC